GGGGGGGCAGGTTTCTTCAGAGGGGGGTGCCACTGCCATCCTCTGAGGCTGAGAGAGTGTTTCTTGCACTGATAGCCAAACCACCAACAAACACTGACTGAGCTCTGGGGTTCTCCTAATGCTTGCAGCCTCCACTAATCTGTGTATTCAGTGTATTGGATGACAACTCCCATACTCCCTCCTATATACCTGAGGATTCTGGAAGTTGTAGTCCCACGCTTTTGATGCTCTCTCTTTTGGGAAGGCTCCATTACTGACTCTCTCATCTCATTTCCCATCCTTGCCAAACCCCACAAAGAGAGGAATTTCTACCTCAGCTGTCCTTTGCATAGCAAGAGATGCAAAGAATATTCATAAATATTGAACTCCCCTTCAAGTGAGAAGGTTTTCCTGCATGTTGGGAAACCCCAATGCAGAGAAATCCTGCATGATAAAGAACTTCATAATTCAGGGCTTATTCTGCATGAAAAAAAACCCCATATGGTTTTGTATGTTTGTGGACAGAAAACAGTATTTTTCTGTGCAGAAATGCAGTTTCTTGAGCAGAAAGTATGCTTTACTATTTGCACAAAAATGCCCATGTGGTTTTTGTGCTTCTGTGTGAGTGCAGAGTAAGTCCCAAACTGCAGACAGTCCTTGAAAATTGTACAATTATCACAGCCTTTCTTGCAGCAGGGAAAAAAATGGATTAGATTATTTGTTCAAGTCTGCATCACAACATGAGAGCCAGTGAGGCATAATGGTTTGAGTGTTGGATATGACTCTGGAGACCAGCTTTTGGTTTCCAGCCTGGCCATGAAACCAACTGAGTGACCTTGGGCACATCACACTCTCTCAGCCTCAGAAGAATCATGCACAAGCCTACACTGGAGTCATGCTGTCTAAAATCAGAGTTATGCATTGATTGTGCAATGCAACCCTTGTGTTGAACCACTGGACCAAGATGACAAAGACAGAGCATGCGGCTGTTCAACATCACACACAAATGTCCAGCGGCAGGAGAACATATGAGCCAGTGGGGCATAGTGGTTCGAGTCTCGGACCATTACTCTGGAGCCCAGGGTTCGATTCCCAGCTTGGCCATGAAAACCACTGGGGGACCTTGGGCACATCACACTCTCTCAGCCTCAGAAGAAAGCAATGGCAAACCTCCTCTGAACCAATGTTGCAAAGAAAACCCCATGATTGAAAACCCTCTGAACCAATGTTGCAAAGAAAACCCCATGCCATAAGTTGGGAACAACTTGAAGGCACACAACATCAGCAACAGCAGCACAGCATCGCAACACCTTGTGTACATCTGCCCCACATCATAGCATTAAATTGGGAAGGGAGGGTTGCCATTGAAGGAAACTATGCTCTCTATTCTAGCTGGCAGAGAGTAGACGGTTTCTGCTGTGCAGAATCAGGAAAGCACAGGCTCTTACTGGAAATTGCATGCTCTAAACGCAATTCTTTCCCCAATTGCAAACCACTCCAAAAACAGCACGATAAGGCAATGTACTGAGGAGCCAAAGGCCAGAGCATGGAACAAATGCAGGTAGGAACAGACGCCATGCCCTTCACAAAAGGGCCGGTGTACTCAGATGCGCTTTCCCCAGACAGCGGAAATCAATTCCCTACAGGCAAAAGATTTCCCATCGCTGCGCCTGGCTCTCTGTTACTGAACGATCTACTGTGCTTTAGCAAATATTGAATAAAGGGTAGGGGCCAAATTAATATTTAAAGATGCTGCAGCCACACTTTGCGCTCAGGGAGGCAACATTTCCCAGACTTGGCAGTCTGGTCCAGATGCTCACATCCAGTGGAAGGAACACAAGGCCTGTGAAGATATGAAGTCCTTGTGAGGCTGGGATAACATTGTGAAAGGTCTGTCTCCCATTTGCAGGCCTCCAGGCTGGACACTAGACCAGACCACTGCTCCATCCTTCTGGACTGGCTGGCTTGGACACACACACACACACACATCATTGCAAAATGTTGTTATTCATTGTTTTAGATACAGTTGGTCCTTGCTATGGACTGGGGTCCAGGACCCCCTGTGGATACCAAAATCAGTGGATGCTCTCGAGTCCCATGAAATACAATAGTGTAGTAACATTATGCTCCTTATTTTAAAAATAGCAAAATCAAGGTTTGCTTTTGGGAATATTTTTTTTTATTGGGAGGGGTATTTTCAAGCCATGGGTAGTTGAATCCATGAATACAGAATCTGTGGGTGTTGTTGTTGTTGTTGTTGTTGTTAGCTGTCCTCAAATGGGCCTCGACTCATGGAAAACCTGTGGCCGAGACCTCTCCAAGGCCCCCTCCCTTTCCTCAACTATTCTGCTCAGGTTCTGCAAAGCAAGGGCTGTGACCTCCTTAACAGAGTCCATCTATCTAGCATGCCGCCTTCCTCTTTTTCTCCTTCCCTCCACCTTTCCAAGCATTATTGTCTTTTCTAGTGAGCAGTGCCTTCCCATGATGTGTCCAAAGTACGACAGCTTCTGTTTCATCATCTTGGCTTCCAAATGGATTTCGGACTTAAATCTGTTCAAGGACCCATTTGTTTGTCTTTTTGGTCATCCATGGGATCCTCAGCACTCCTCCAGCACAACACCTCAAGAGTTGATTTTCTTTTAATCCACTTTTTTCACTATCCAGCTCTCACATCCATACATGGCGATTGGGAATACAATGGCTTGGATGATTCTTTAGGGCTCAGTTGTATATCTTTACTCTTTAGGATCTTCTGTAACTCTCACATGGCTGCCTTTCTCTTTCCTAGCAGGCATCTGACTAACATCTCCAATTGTTTTCTTCCTGTTTGGTTTGTAACATCTTTCCTGATGAAGAAGAAGAAGCCAGTGGAGCTTCGAAAGCTTTGCAACAAGTATAATATTGTGCATTTGGGTTGGCCAATAAAGGTACCAGTGTTTGGTGGATTTTGGTTTGACTTCTTGTCTTCACTGCAGTCTCTGTTCTGAACGAAGTTTGATCCCATCTACAAGAAATCTGCAACTATTTAAATATGGAGGGCCAACTGTACTCACCAAATATATCTGAGCAAGTAGGCTCAAGTCTTTGAAAGCTCATGCTACCAACTTCTTTCCCTCAGTTGTTCTCAACAGTCTGCGAGATCCCTTTGCATACGGGTTTTCCAGACCAATACAGCTATGACTTTGAATCGTACTCACTGTGTTTGAGAGATTTGTACTCTGTTGTCCTCCGGATAATATCTGAATAATATTATTTTCTTCCATATCATGGTCCAGATACTGCATCAAGCAGGTGGAGTGGAGCACAATGCTCAGCCTGTGCAGTTCTATGTCTTTCCCCAGTCTCAGCATCTGCCAACACCTGTTGGTGCAGAAAAAGAGGGGGATGAAATTGAAAGGAGGAATTGCAGCTGGTCTTGGCTCAGTGGGGGAGAGAAATGAGGGTGCTCTCCCAGCCGGAAAGGTACCTGTCTTTCCCTTCCCCTTGGAGCTGAGACCAGCATCATCAGTGGCTTTACCAGGTGCAAGAGATTTTGGACAGTGCGCAAAGAACTAGAGCAGGGGTAGGCAACCTAAGGCCCGGGGGCCGGATGCGGCCCACCAAGGCCTTTGGACTGGCCCCAGGCCAGTCCTGCCGCCGCCCCCGCCGCCCCCCCCCCGCCATGATGATATTGATTATTGTTGTTATTACTTGTTCTTGGGGTTTTCTTGGCAAAATCTCCACAGGGGTTTTGCCATGGCTTTTCTGGGGCGGAGAGAGTGTGCATGCATATTTTTTTAATTTTAATTTTTTTAATTTTTAATTTTAATTTTAATTTATTTGTTCATTTGTTTATTTATTTTTGGTGCTTTGGCCCCCCAATTGTCTGAGGGACAGCAACCCGGCCCCCGGCTCAAAAAGGTTGCCTACCCCTGAACTAGAGGATAGCTCCTCATGCCCAAGAGTGTGGTGAATATGAACAAAACCCACACTTAACGTATGCATGTTCAATCACAAGGATGCTGGCCACCATCTGTAGGGCTATGATGTGGAACACAGAAGAAGCTTATTTCTGCTGTTCCGTAGCATAGGAACCAAAGCAAAGCAAAGCAGCTTCATTTATATACCGCTTCATATCGTGCA